ATTCCATATCTACAGAAGAGTGACCACTTCCTCTTTTTTTTAAACAGCATATATTTCTGTGTATATTAGTTCATTTTATAGCATCTGGATGAAACAGAAAATGGAAATGAAAAGTAAAAAGTATACATGATCTGTAATGACAAGAATGTTCACATTTGTTTCATAGTATTATACGTGTATATTTATATAAGGATTGTGTGTATTATATATGTATGTTTATGAATATGTTCATATATGTTTTTCATAAAAATTTAAATATTGAACATATTATTTTATAACTTTTTTACTTAGCTATATCCTGTGAGAATGTTATTAAGTAAAGTCTATAATGAGATATTCAGTTGCTTCACTGCAGCATTTACTTAACTAATCTCTCTTGCTGAACATTTGGATTCTTTTTAGTTCTGTATCCTGTTGGACAGTCTTGCAGGTACATTTTTGTCCACATTCCTGGTTATATCTTCATACACTACCAACAGTAAAGTCACCCATTGGATGAATAGGCACATTTAAAACTTTACATAAATACTGCCTAATTATCTTTCAGGAAAGATGTACACTTTTATGCTTTCACTATGTTGCAGAGACAAGTCTGTCAGTGAAGTCCCACTTCTCTGTACCCTTTTCCTAAAAAAGCTTCCCCAAACTGTAAGCCACTGTGCATACCAAACATTCTATTTTAAATATATACCACTAGTTCCTTGAAAATTTGCTTGAAAACTGGAAAGTTTGAGTTCCTTAGGTCACTGTATCATAAGGAATTTTGAATGAAGTCTTTTGACCATGGACACAGCATTATCTTCTTCACCTCAACAAGAAACCAATCCAGGATAAGACAATCTTGTTCCTATTTACTGGCCTTTTATAAGCCTCTTTCCTGAAGCCCTAGGACTGTTCTAGGCTCAGGTATATGCATTTCCACATAGGTCTCGGCCAAAACCTTACACTGCAATTGCATAAAAGTCAACAGAAGCAAATGGAGTCTCTAAAGAGCATATAAACTTTCCAGGAGGACACAAATTAGGGATGTGGCATGGTGTCTCTCTTTAATCTAATTTTTTTATTTGAAAACACTTAAAAGCAGGCTAGACTTCTGCTCTGTGAAAAGGGAGAGAAGCAGTAAAGATGTGATACAGGTGGCAAGGATTTTTCTCAAACTGTAAGTCCAGGGACTGCTTCAAAACCACTACAGAAAGAATGACCACTGATACCCAATTTTGGAAACAAAGACTCTTTTCCTAACTCACAGTAGTGGATTAAAAAGTTCCCACCTTTGAGGAAATAGTGAAATTCCTCAGCTCATGGTAGAAACTGTAGCAGGCAAAAGCAGTACTGAAGCCTGGACCAGATGTCAGGGTCCTCTCTTAGCCACAGGGTGCCTGTTTCACTTGCTTTGGAAACTCTCAGGCTGTCACCCCAGCAAGCCTGCCAAAGCCTAGGTGCCTCATGAGAATTCTGTGTGGTCTTAGCCTGTCTCACAGCAGACTACAGCCACCTCCTGGGTTGTGATGTCTTGACAGGCACCTCCTATTTTGCAGGAAGATGCTAACCTCTGTGATGGTTAATGCGGTGTGTCAACTTGGGTCACAGGCTGCCCAGATTAAACATTTCTTTTTAGTGCATCTGTTAGGGTGCTCTGGATGAAATCAACACTTGAATCAGTGGACTTACTACCATAGACTTCCCATTTGGATGGGCTCATCTGGTCTTTCAAGGATTGGAATAGAACAAAAAGCGTCAAGGAAGGAGTATTTTGCCCCTTTGTTTCCCACCCAACTGCTGAAACTGCCCCATTCATCTTCTCCCCCTGAGCTGGGATTCACACCATCGGCCCTTCTGAGTCTCAGAGTTTTGATTTGCAGTGAAATGACATCCCATTCTTCTGAGGTCTTCAGCTCTTAAATAACAGATTGTAGGACTTTTCAACCTCCACAATCCTGTGGACAATTCCTCTAATAAATCTCTTCCTCTGTGTGTACTCGTGTGTGTGTGTGTGCGTGCGTGTGTGTGCGCGCACACGCGTGTGCGTCCGTCCTATTGGTTCTGTTTCTCTGAAGAACTCTGACTAGCACAACCTATTTCCAACTATACTGTTGAATATATGAGCCTGGATTTAACTAGCCATGCAAGGATTTGTCAGAGAGTCTAGTAAAAATATCCTCCTTCTCAATATTCCCTGAAATATTGATGAGGGAGACAATACTTAGGCAGGTTTCCCTGGAGAAATAGTTATCAAGTATATTCACTCACTAGCTACGTTTAAAGCATCCCAAGATGGAGACAGATTAGCAGAAAGCTGGGGACCTCTAGCATAGCTGTCCCCACCGGCCCACTCCTTCTGCCCTCCCTTTCCCAGACAGCTTTTACACAGAACATCATTATGTGGAACAGGCCTATGAAACCCACTTATGTGCCCTCAAGAAGGCTGTGGTGGGGACGCTGTTCCTTACATCACACAGTGTTTTCTTTATGAGGACTGTGGGGAACAATTCCTGTCTGGCCTCTGTGTGAACAGCAGTTAGAATTTTCCTGAGCAATTGGTTTGTGTTTATCTCACAGACGTCGTAAACCGTCTATCTGACAAGTTTTCTTTATTCCACAGGCAGCTGTGGTGCTGTGTGCCCTGTCTGTGACACACTCCTCAGTAGCAGGTGTGCAGAAATGCAGTTTTTGCATTATTATCAGCTCCAGTGTAGTCTTTCCTACTATCTTGTGTTACCTCACTTTTAATTTATGCTGTCTTGTCATGTTTTATGTCTCACGGTGAGCCATTTGAAAAATGTCCTGTGAAATAAGATTTGGTTTACACTGAAAAGTAGATAAACAAATAATAAGATGTGAGAGAGCCTTACACTGTGTGTTCCTATCAATTTTCCTCCACACTTCCATTATGTTCTGCTTCAATATCCCCCGTCTAACAGATCTAAGGTTTAGGCCCTGCAACTCAGAACTGTAGCAGTAACTCCTCAAGTAATTGAAAAACCCAAATAAAGTTGCTCACAATATTGTGACTGCCCCAGTTCATTCTCCTGACCTAGCTGAGGCAATACCATTGAAATGACAAAGTTTCTGGAGTCCAAGCTGCACTTTAATGCTAATTAGAATGAAAAGAGTAAATAGCACTACCCAACAGTGGAGGGACTTGGAAGTAGGAGCAGACAGCACTGTTTGCTGTGGTGCGTTTCAGTCTGCTGTGCCGCTAAGTAGCAAGAAAGAACTATTAGTCCCTAGATGGGCTTTTTCTCCCCAAGGAGTTTCTAACTGCAGGAAATGGACTCACATTTAAGAAGAGAGGGGACGGTGTGAACTCCCATCAAAGAGTACACAGAGCTATTTGGGAAAATGAGCACACGAAAACCTATTCAACACCCTTAGTCATGGGGAAATGAAATTTAAAACCAGGAAGAGCTACCATCACACACCTATTCAAATGGCTGAAACTAAAAGGACCGACCCCGGTGAGGGCTGGTGACACTGTGGTGCAGCAACTAGGACTTTGCAAACTGTCGGTGGGTATGTAAAATGGTTCAACCATTTTTGAAAACAGCTTGCTGTTCTTTAAAAAATTAAACATCTATGTACCTGGGGACCCGGCCATTCCATTTCTAGCTGTTTACCCAAGAGAAATAAAGACTGTGTCCACACAGAGATCTACACATGCATGTCCACAGCAATTTGCTTTCTAGAGCCCCCAAACTGCAAACAACCCAAAAGGTGTTTATCAGTAGATGAATGAATACATAAACGGTGAAGTAACCATCCAATGGAATATTTCTCAGCACTAACTAGCAAAGTACAGATGCATACAACAGCAGATATAAATCTCAGAATAATTATGTCCACTGGGAGTTGAGTATATATTGCAGGATTCCATTTATATAAAATTCTAAATCATGTAAACTAATATAGAGTGAAAAGAATCAGAACAGTGGTTGCCCATTATACATGGCGGTGGGGAGGGCAGAAGATTAAAATGGGAGAAAGAAATTTTTTGAGGGGGTTACATCTGTGTTTGGTAATTTCACTGTGGAAGTAGCTTTACCTATATCAAACTTACAAGTTGCATACTTTATATATTACATCTCAATTATACCTCAGTATAGCTGCTTAAGAAAAATATATTTTGCTGGTGGTACTGGGGATTGAACCTACAGCTTTTATCACTCCCCCTTTCGTTATCTTGAGACAGAGTCACATTAAACTTTTAAATAGCCAAGGCTGGACTAGAACTTGTGACCCTCCTGACTCAGCCTCCCAGGGTACTGGGATTAGCCAAAGTCACATGCAGCTCATGGCTGCTGCGCTGACTTTTGTGTTGCCCCAGGACTTGGTATTTGTGTTCATTCTTGCGAGACTATACCAGTGCTACCACAAGGTGTGTTCTAAACCTGTGTTTTACCCCTTGCCTTTATTTCCCAACCAAAGAGACTCTTTCTCATCTTGCTAGTGAAGCAGCATCAATGATACAAATACTAGAAAAAGAGATTCAAGCTTAAAATCTTTCCTGATGGATGTCACCGATAGGTTCATTTAACCAGAGAATAGACAGATTGTTTTAGTGATATATTCTGGGAAGAGAGCAACTGTTTTCCCAGATGCACTGGCGAACCACTGTATATACAAGAACTGTACAAACAACATCAATATTTTGTGATGTCAAACACCCAGAATCTAAAATGCTCAGTTCGCTTTAGACCTGGTAGTCTGGGTTTAAAAGACAAAGTTTGTAAAGCAGTAGCTAGGGGAGGTTATGTCCTAACTTCTAGATCTGGAACTTTTAGGTTTAGCCTCAGTTTGTACATCTATGAAATGGGCGCACTAATGCCCATCTAAAAGAATTGCAGTGCAGATTTAACAAGGGCATAGATGGAGAGGAGCACTTGAGGAGCAGTTAGTTTCAAGTATCCCCTCCCTTACCACTAAACCCTTCATTATAACACATATTTTCTCCCTTTGCAGAGGGAAGGACCAGTAGGAGTAGGCACTTCCTCCATTCTTACCTGGAGCCAAAGCTTGTCGTGCTGAGACCACTTCCCACCAGCAATGCACTGAAATGTGGCATTCTGCCCCACATTCACCTCGACGTTTTGGAGTCGTAGAAAATGAGGTGCTTTTCCTAAGACAGAAACCAAAGAACACGTGAGAACAGTATTCAGCAGCTTGCATCACAGCTCTGTCATGGATGGCAGCTGAGGATAGGCGCTGGGCAGCATGGGAAGTATCCCTGGAAAGAGGTCTGGCCTAGTCAACAGCTGATGGGTCACTTCCGGGGGCGGCCACCGATCTATGAACTTTATACACATCTCTCACCCGAGCCTCACAAAATCCTCATTTCATGAAACAGAAAACTAAAGCTCTGAGGGATTATACAGCTTCACACAGTCAGGCTCACCCAGAAAGAAGGGAGGCAAGACAGGAATCCAGGTCTCTGAGACCCTCAAAGCCCCTGTTACCAGCTGCTGTGTGATACCATGCTGTAAAACTAGCATATGCACCCTAAAACACATCCAAATTGGCTACTTCCCCCAGGGCTGGCACTGTATGAAAGTTGGAACCAGAGAACTCAAAGCTAGGAAAACAAAAGACTGGGGTGGGGAATGGGGAAGATATTCACTGTAGAAGGGGCTCTCCTGCTCCCTGGGTGGGCAGAAAAAATAAAGCTGAAGTAAAGCATCTTTGGCTGAGATCTGCACTTGGCATTGGTGATGTTGCTGCTAACAAAGATGAGGAGAACAAAATGTGGAAGATGAGAGAAAGGAGGAGAACACTGGTAGCCGTCAGTCACTGGGCACTGCCATGGGACAGGTACCACGTGTAGGTTTGATGTGTAGTAATTGATTTCACCCAGGCCAGTGGGCAGTGGTTCTACTCTACTGTGCATGAGGGAACTGGGATACAGAGAAATCCAGAGTTACAGGGGCCACAGTTACTCTTACCTCTAAGCAGTGGTACCACCTGAGCAAGAATGGGTAGTAGGACATGGATGCTGTGGACTGGAAAGCAGCACAAAGGGCTTTCAAATGAAAATCAATGTCTCTATGCAGTCAGCCCTAGGATTAAACATGTGTTTGATGTTGGGTAACTTGGATTCACCTTTTTCCTTGTTTGCTCTCCAAATACCAGCAATGTTAATCCTACATTGGCTGAGCACCTATGACTAGAAGCACGAGTTGAGCACAATAAAGGATCCCTACCATCATCAACAAAACCAGTACCGAACATGGCCTAGACTGGCCCAGAAAGGGACCCAGTGAAGACTTCTGAGATGATCAAAGAGGACCCACACACCATCTTTCCAGAGGGAGCTAAACACAGAGAGACAATAATGTCATTCCCGAAAACTCCTCCAGGGCCAGGTACTATGATAAATACTCTGCATGTTTTATCTAATTCAACCTTATTGCACCCCTGTGAAGCAGATGCTGTTGTCATTTCCCTGCTAGAGAGGTCGAAGCCAACATTCACACAAGTTTAATATTCCTGAAGTTGCACAGCTTCAGTGAGAGGCGGAAACAGAACACATTCTGGTTCTATTTGAGCCCCAAACTCGGGTTTCGCATAGCACGCTCTCTCGGGTCTTGAGCACTAGGGATGAAGGTAGTGTCACCAGACAGGCACCAGGCTCCCAAGCAAGACTGCTGGCTCTCCAGGCTCCTCTCCTTGCTCCCAAATATCTTGCAGTGTCCCCTTTCCTTGCTTCACTTCTTACTTTGAACTGCCTTGTCC